AGGGTTGGGTACCGAAACCCGGTACCAATATGGCACCGGTACCTATGTAACCGGTGTGTACTAGTACCGAATCAGAACGCAGATTTTGGTGCCTCATTTCGGTGCCATGCCTGTGCGATGTAAGAAGGATGTGTGTAAGAAACGGATGTAAGAAGCATCATCACCGGCACCGCACGTGAAAAATTATTTCCTGACTGAGAAAATGCATGTGAACTCAAGTCGGAAAGCTCTAATAATACAAATCCAACAAATCTTTGTAGTAACGTGAGTGTCCATGTTGTTTTTACATTACAACTTAAAAGCACAACTTGGGGAAATTACTCTGAAATGGCTCTGGTGGCAGCAGGTAGCCTTCCTTCAACCAAGCTAAACATGCTTAAATTAAAATGCCTAAAGCAAAACTTCCGTTGTATTCACATTTCTAAACTTGTTGTCCAACAAAAGAAAACATTATAACATTTTTACTCCACAACACCAGTCAAATGTTTCTTTTTGTGATCTGATGTGGCTTCTTGTCACAAAATGAGGCAGAAAATATGTTCCATAGGCTACTTTAAAAAATAATAAATTGATTAGCAATGGATTATAAATATACTTAATCATTATGAAAATACCAGAGAATACCAATACCAGAGATGGCTTGAATAACACAGATAAACTATATCGTCACAGTCGAGTGTTTATTGTCTTTGTTTTATCATTCAAAACGTTTATATGTTCTGTTTACTCAGTTACAGCTATAATAGCTATGCCTTTGTCTATATAAGGGATTTCCTGGAGGGTCATGAGCTCCCCTATTTCTGTGACTGGATATGTGGATTTTCTGTGCGAGGGCACCCTCTGGTGTCCAGTATGAATGAAACAGACATCATGTGTTTATAGTGCTAATGGCCGATCCTTCATTTTATGGGGAATTTTTCTTTTATTAATTTTTTTAATAAGTATGGTTCAGGCACCGTTTAGGCACCGGAACCGTTTTAAAAGTATCGATTTGGCACTGGTATCGAAAAAAACCCCAAATGATACCCAAGCTAATTAAGTTCCCTACATATCAAAAACAAGTTTGCGTTGATAATAAAACTCGTTATCAGCAGCGCTATGGGGATGGCTCACCTGTCAGATCTGGCCGACATAACGTTGAAACTCAATCGGGGAATTCCAAATGCTCACCTGACACAAAGGTAACCCTTTGTGCTACCACAGAGTCCATATATCACCCCAGCACACATTAATGCATCTATTCTGAGCTGCTAAAGATGTCCCGCAAGGCTCAACAGTAAGGATTTTTTCTTCCCGCTGACCCAGCAGTTCAGATTTTTACTTCATTGGCTAAATCTATACAGATCTATTGTGTAATTCAGAAGTACAGTAGATGTGAATCTTAACACTTGTCACACACAGGGGGTAAAGGTCACCTGATTGCTCATGTCTTGTGTTATGTCAGCTCTGTTATCTCGTCTTTCGGGTGGGAGAAGAGGGCACTGAAACACAACCGTGACCTGACAGATCAAGTTTAATTTCAGCTGACAGTGTGTTTGAGCTTAAGCGAGTGTGACATTGAGCACATTAGATCCCTGAAATCAAAGTCATTCACATCAACAGGAGGTGCTGCCCAGGGGAAATAACAGCTCCCAATAGCACCGTTTCTAGTGGCATGAAAATGTTCTGATACACTGAAAGTCAAGAGCTACAGTGATATGAGCAGATGGATTTTACAACACTGTGCTGCATGTGATTCACTGACATTAGTGTTTTACTTAAAAATATGGGAATGCTTATAATATCATTTTACAAAAAGGAAACAAAACACATGCTTTATACACTAAAGATATCAATTTACCTGGGTAGGCACCAGAACAGGCGGATATGCTAGCTTGTGATGTCGATACATCCAGAAGGAGAGCAGGACAATGGTCGCGATGCCCATGATGGGTACGATGGAGTACAGAACAGTACTGAACAGTGGTGGCTTCTGAGTGAAGGGGTTAGATGTTGCTAGGGAGAGAAGAAGAATGCGAGAGATCAGTGCCGATCAATACTTCTTATTAGGTGCACGATGTACATTATTGTTCAAACTTTTGGGGTTGGTAATATTTTTTAAGAAGTCTCTTTTTTTCACCAAAGCTGCATTTAGTTGAACAAAATACAGTAAAAACAGTAGTGTTATGAACTAATATAACAACTTATAATACAAAAAAATATATATTTTAATATATAATTTATTCCTGTGATGGCAAAGCTGAAATTTCAGCAGTCATCAATGTCACATGATCCTTCAGAAATCATTCTAATGTGCTTATCTGGCACCAAAGGAACATTTCTTAGTATTAATGTTGAAAATATTTTTTTGTATTTTTTTTACAGAAATCTTTGATAAATGGAAAGTCAAAAGCATATCAAAAATCTTTACTGTCACTTTTTATCAATTAAAAAAAAACAAAAACACAACAACAACAACAACAGCAATCTTACTGAACCCAAACTTTAGAACCAAAGTGTATCTGTGACAAGCATGTTACTAGGAATAACTGGGAATTGACTTTGGGAACATTCACACAAGACAGATTTCCACATTCTGTCATGAGCACCATTTACATTTAGTCTAATTTGTCTGTAAAAAAAAGAGTCTCATGTATGCATATAAAAGTCCACATTCTAAGCTTTTATTAAAACTTATAAATTGGTTTTATAGTGAACTGCTCCATCAATAAATAAAAAATAAATAGATCATAAAACAAGTAAATAAATAAAATAAAATAAAAGGTTAATCGTATCAGCCACAACAAGCTGTTAATTATCAGTGCAGAAATATTGTAGTTTCCCTCCTAATACATAAATGCTATTTTGGAAACATTCCTGAAACCCACAACATTACGATTACTATTGGTTTAATAAGTGATATGAATGTGAAAATGGATGACATCAGCATTTGACAGAATGACTTCAGCTTAAATTAGCATTACTAAGCAGAACCTCAGCCAAGAGTTTGCTCCTAATTCCCTCAAATTCAACAGCACATGAACACAACAGATGACGGGATGAGAAGTCTAGCACACACCTTCTATACATCGCATTAGTGAGATACGCGGTGTACGCTGAGAATCTCTCACTGCATACTTATTTTATGTTCCACACCTTTTGAACTCACTAATTACAATTCTTTCACAGCAGCCTTGAAACAAGGTTGGTTTGATTTTCTGAAGGCTGCTAACAGATCCTGCCTTATGCAAACAGTTTTATTCCAATGCACATGCTTCTATGCAAATGCAAATTCCCATTTAGAGCGATTCAACGGAACTGCACGAGTGCGCTTGAGGAAGAATAGCATGCATGCTTAGTCAGTGCACACGGTGGCCCTCGATTTCTCTGCATCTAGTGCCAGAGATCGGATTGGGCCATGGCTGTTGGCCAGAGATGCAGTGATCCCTCGCTCTTGTGTTATGGCAGAGCATTTCCCATTCACCCGGGCTGACCCATCCGGTCGAACTTCAGCAGAATCTTTATTAGCTTTGGTCTCATTTGTGATGCCATTTCTTCTCTCTCGTGCCAGCTATGGACTTGGAAATGGGTTAAGGACTCTGGATTAATCCACAAGCACAGGAAAAAAAGAAAAAGAAAAAAAAAAACATCCACCTCCAACAAACCCGACTCTCATCCGACCCTACTCCACCCTTCCCCCACTCAGCGGGCAGAATGGCCACACACAGCCGTGGGGCATGAAAGTACCCGGTCACAAGGTCATAAAAAGCACACAGCTCCATGCTCGCAGAAAGCAAATTCTGAGAAACTACAGTGCGCTTTGTGCAACTCTTCATGTCCCTGTGGGTTTTTGCATTTCATATCAAGATCATTCCATATGGAGTGATTCAGTGCTGGAAATAGACCCATTACATAAGCACTCCTCTGCTACTGAAGTACTGAAGACTCTTCTACCCAACACATTTACACTGATATAGTCAGTTGTAATGTCAAAACTCATCAGCCAGAGCTCAACCAGTACTGCACACAACTAAACTCATCAGCCAGAGCTCAACCAGTACTGCACACAACTAAACTCATCAGCCAGAGCTCAACCAGTACTGCACACAACTAAATCAGGTCATCTTTTCAAGAGACCACGGGCAGAAAATAAATCATGACTGCTGAAACGTACAACTGACCCCCTGCAGGGAGCTGAGAGCAGTGGGCCAGTAGATTAGAACCGCTGGGTCTGTATTTGCTGACATGCCTCCAATCCTCATTTAGTTAAGAGGATGTTGATGTCAGTGTTTACTCAGAAGAGATAAAGCGACCAGATCAGCCTTGGTAATCTAAAAGACATGGTCATCTCTGGGGCTGCGAGAGCAAGTTACGCTGTTGAAAGCCCAAAGACAGCAAAGCAAACTGATGTCTTCTATATGACATGCTCCACAATCTTTTAAATGTTTCATTTTATGATGGATGGATGGATGAAAGCCAAACAGCTCTGAGTTGCCAAATGACAGAATTGCTCAATATAGATGGCTGTTCAGAAGCCATGCTCATGTTTGGTTTATGTATTTTGAGGATCTATTGCAGTGGATGAAGATCTACACGGGTTCAAAATCTGTAATGTTATGCGAAGACATTTCAGAACAGAAACAATGTAAAACTGAAGTACTGCTATTTATTCAATCACTCACATTCCACAGTACAACTGTTTCAGCCTTACAATTTGGTTTAACTATGCTAAACAGTAAGTAGTCGACCTACTTTATGTAACATATAAATGTTGCCTTTACATTCACAACAGTTTTGTTGTACAAAAATTATAGTACTCTTAAAGGTAAGAATAATAATAAAAAAGAGAACAGATACATTTCTGCATCTAAAACCCCTAGCGAACTTTCTGATAACTTTTACTGCTACTCAATGATTATTCTCAAAACTGCTTAAGCCAGATATTTAATGTTCATCTTTTGCATCTGCTTCAGCTCCATCCAATGTGTCTGAGCTTGTTCACACAGGCATGCTTAGTTTTTTTTTTGCGTTTCTGACATTAATTAGCACCTGAATTTAACAAAAGCCTCTGGTTGCAGCAACATCACAAGAATCAATTTCAATTTTACAGAGAAACCTGCCTCTCTGAAAAGAACTTCAACTGCATTGAAGAAAAGCAAAGGTTAAGAAACATAAAAAAGCCTGATGAGCTGCATCAATAAGATAACATACGAGACAGACAACAAGCTCTTCATTCAAAAGCAGATTAATCTGCAGCCATTGAGCTATGCAGTGGTCACGAGAAATGCAGATATGAATAAGAGCCTATGTATGCAGTAAATAAGAGATCAGTGGTGGCTTGGTCAAGATAAGCATATCAAAGCATATGTTTTGATTAAAGAAATATAAAACTATCTGAACAAAATGAATAAATAAAACCGAGTTTATAAAAGCCCCTATAATCTTTTGCTTAAAAGCAAATATATAATTTGATATTTCCGAAATCAAATGTTAAATTCAAGGCAAAACTATAGAAGGAGGGCACAATGGATTAATTTGAACTGTACATCTATGCAAAAGCTAAATTGCACACCCATGAGATACTATCAAACTCAAATAGCTCACAGAAACCGAACCTCATCAATATCACTTAGAAATATGTTGAAATCAGACCAAAAAACATGCAGAACCAACTTCAGTTGCAATATAAGTTTCCAACAGGAACTAATAATGAACATTTACGCGATAACACTCTGACATTTTAAAAACCAGCACCAAAAAGACAGCTAGTTGATTTAATATAAACATCATAACATTGATATGTTTTGATGTTCTGCTAAATGCATAAATGATGTGACATATCATAAAACACAGTAACAGAGAAAGTGCATACATTGTTAGTGGTCTTCCTAATGTTTAAGTTTTAATACACATTAATTTAATTTAATTAAAGTTTTTCATTAAAGATTTATGTTCATAACATGTAGCACACAACTCTGATGTACAGGTGCATCTCAATAAATTAGATGTTGTGGAAAAGTTCATTTATTTCAATAATTCAACTCAAATTGTGAAACTCGTGTATTAAATAAATTCAATGCACACAGACTGAAGTAGTTTAAGTCTTTGGTTCTTTTAATTGTGATGATTTTGGCTCACATTTAATAAAAACCCACCAAATCTCAACAAATTAGAATACTTCATAAGACCAATAAAAAAACATTTTTTGTGAATTGTTGGCCTTCTGGAAAGTATGTTCATTTACTGTACATGTACTCAATACTTGGTAGGGGCTCCTTTTGCTTTAATTACTGCCTCAATTCGGCGTGGCATGGAGGTGATCAGTTTGTGGCACTGCTGAGGTGGTATGGAAGCCCAGGTTTCTTTGACAGTGGCCTTCAGCTAATCTGCATTTTTTGGTCTCTTGTTTCTCATTTTCCTCTTGACAATTCAGGTCTGGTGAGATTGCTGGCCAGCTAAGCACACCAACACCATGGTCATTTAACCAACTTTTGGTGTTTTTGGCAGTGTCGGCAGGTGCCACATCCTGTTGCAAAATGAAATCAGCATCTTCAAAAAGCTGGTCAGCAGAAGGAAGCATGAAGTGCTCCAAAATTTCTTGGTAAACGGGTGCAGTGACGTTGGTTTTCAAAAAACACAATGGACCAACACCAGCAGATGACATTGCACCCCAAATCATCACAGACTGTGGAAACTTAACACTGGACTTCAAGCGACTTGGGCTATGAGCTTCTCCACCCTTCCTCCAGACTCTAGGACCTTGGTTTCAAAATGAAATACAAAACTTGCTCTCATCTGAAAAGAGGACTTTGGACCATTGGGCAACAGTCCAGTTCTTCTTCTCCTTAGCCCAGGTAAGACGCCTCTGACGTTGTCTGTGGTTCAGGAGTGGTTTAACAAGAGGAATACGACAACTGTAGCCAAAATTCCTTGACACGTCTGTGTGTGATGCCTTGATGCCTTGACCCCAGCCTCAGTCCATTCCTTGTGAAGTTCACTCAAATTCTTGAATCGATTTTGTTTGACACTCCTCATAAGGCTCGGTTCTCATGGTTGGTTGTGCATCTTTTTCTTCCACACTTTTTCCTTCCACTCAACTTTCTGTTAACATGCTTGGATACAGCACTCTGTGAACAGCCAGCTTCTTTGGCAATGAATGTTTGTGGCTTACCCTCCTTGTGAAGGGTGTCAATGATTGTCTTCTGGACAACTGTCAGATCAGCAGTCTTCCCCATGATTGTGTAGCCTAGAGAACCAAACTGAGAGACCATTTTGAAGGCTCAGGAAACCTTTGCAGGTGTTTTGAGTTGATTAGCTGATTGGCATGTCACCATATTATAATTTGTTGAGATAGTGAATTGGTGGGTTTTTGTTAAATGTGAGCTAAAATCATCACAATGAAAAGAACCAAAGACTTAACCCACTTCAGTCTATGTGCATTGAATTTATTTAATACACGAGTTTCACAATTTGAGTTGAATTGCTGAAATAAATGAACTTTTCCACGACATTCTAATTTATTGAGATGAACCTGTGCATGTACTGAACAGTTGAATTGCGGCACAAAAAAAGGGTTGCTACACAAATAATTCAGGCCATGAAATACGTGGAAAAAACACTAAAATGGAGATGAAAAAGCAGTGAGCCTGTTATGATTTTTGACATGAACAGTCATGAAAAACGCCATGAGAGGATCTTCGAGGTAATTGATGATTTTGATAATGAGGTTATGAGGTAACATAGGTTATGAGGAGACAAAGACAGAAAGGAGGGTTTCACACTGACAGAATCAAACGCCAGCACAATTACATCAGAGGAAGGGGTATAACTGAAGAACTTCCAATACCCTTAAAGACTTTGCTGTTTGTGTCGCTGAAGGGAGCCTTACTCTGAACTGGCGGCATTTCAGGGTTGTAGAAGAATTTCTCGTTGCACATGTTGCCCTCACAGCAGCAGAAGAACACATCCGGGTCCTCCTTTTTTTCAACACACTCAGTGCTGTAAGATAAAGAACAAGCAGAGCTGTCAGCCCACAAATGTTGTTCTTTTTTTGGACTTTTGTAGAATTATTTCAATTTGACTCTAATGTTAAAAAGGAACAAAAATACAACAGTCAAATTTTCAACCACTGAAACTTCTAGTGGACAACATATTTTCAATGTTTCATCAGTTCACCAAAAAACATGAACCTGCACAACAATACGTATTGATTACATGCAATTAATTAGATGAATTACATTTATGTTATGTAATTTTAAAAACTTTAAAAACAAAAAAGACTGATTGGCAGCACTATTTTTTTCAAAATCATGAAAATAATTTTGCCAATAAAATAAAGATGGCATCACATTTGGAGATAATTAAGACATGCATGCTGCAAGGTTTATTTGGATTTTGCTCGGGTTAGAGAGCAAACAAACGGATAAATTCACATAGACGGAAAATGCCTGCGCCAAAGAGATACTTTTTAAAATCTGGCAGCCCACATCAAAGCAGAGCTCTCAGGTTGGCTTAAAGAAGATAAACAAAGCTTAGCAGCACACCAATAATCCTTAAGATACACACGAACAGGTGCAAATGAACAAATAAGAGGGGAATGGATGACATATTCCAGAGGCATTTAGTCAGAAAAGTGAGTCCGTTCCTGCTTGCGACGCACACGTGCCAAGCGTTTGCAATACTTGCTTAGCTACCTAAGGACTTGACATGGCAGTGCAATGTGCATGAAAAAACAAAAAAAACAAAACATAAATCCTTCCAATGAAGGAGGTAAACGGGTTCAGCAGCATGTTAGGACAGAAGTGCTGCTGCCTTTGCACGCTATCAAAACACCTCTGTTCAGGACAAATACTTCCTGATCTGCCAGCAGTGCTACCTGTTGCATAGGGGCAGAAGCGCTGATAAGATGGTTTTTAATATCTCTGCTATTATGGATGGCGGTTACAAGGTTCACAACCAAACCTTAACATGGAAACATGTTTACACAAGACTTTATCTGAAATACGGTGAAATCTTGAGAAGGAAGAATTTGGTTAAAAGTCTCTGCAATGTACATAGCATTGACCATGGGCAATATAGACCATTTAGGCAATTTAGAAGTTAGACAATGTTTGAAATAATAATGATAATATACTAATATAAAAGTATACACTAACGTTGAAAAGTTTGGGGTTGGTACGATTTTTCATTTATTTTTACATTTTTGAAGAAGACAAAAATACAGTAAAAACAGAAATGTTGTGAAATAATATTAAGTAACTGTTTTTGATTTTATTGTTTTAAAATGTAATGGCAAAGCTGGACATTACTCTAGTCTTCAGTGTAGGCATGGGTCGATTACTGGTTTCAAGGTATACCGCGGTTTGAAAATTTCACGGTTTCAAAACCGGTAATATTTTCCGTTATAATGTTCCTGCGGTATGCGCTGTTTTTCACGTCTCCTCAAAGACTGAAAGTGTAGGAATTCCTCAGGTTGAGTGCAGTGTAGAGAGTAACACAACCCTCATCCTGCTGTTGGTGCGAGCGAGCGGTCAGTCACGTGTGTACTGTGTAGGATGGCCGAACCTAAGGAGCTTCCCCTGGAACTTACGCGATCGGCAACCGGCCGTTTTTTGTCTTATTGCAAGCAACTAGTCTCTGTTCTGGACTTGCACAAACTGCGTTGCAATGTAATCGCTTTCCAAAATGTAATTTATGGGAAAATATGATGTCTGTAAACGCCCGTTAACACAGGCCAGAGACGCTGAAGACGGATGCAAAGAGAAAAATACTGTAGCAGGCAGATCACTCACTGTTCATGATCCACGAATTATTGTAAGAAAATTCTCAATACGGATTTGGGGGTTTATATGAATGTGTTTCTGAGGGGAACTGACTGTCTTCAGAAAAGTTTACGTGGTATTTTCTTTTCATCTCGTCTCTGTATAGTTCATATTAAAGCAGTGTTTCAGCGCAGCGCTGCTTTGTTTACAGCAGTAAACAAGGAAACGCTGTATCTGGTGTTCCATGAGCGCCTCCTGCTGTCAGAGAGTGAATCTGTCTCATTCAGAGCATCTACTGTTTGCTTCGTTCAGGCATGTAGTATACTTTCACAAAGCTAGTCAGAACATTCGGTTTTTGCTTCAGATTTGGTTATTATTAAATCAAATTACGTTTATGAAATTATATAACTAAATTATATGAAATTATATAAATGATATGTATATGAATTATATAACTAAAATGAAATAACTGTAATTACAGATTTAGGTTTAATAAAGATGTCAGTCTTTATTTTTCTTCTTTTTAGGAAACAAATCAAAGAAAAAAATAAACAAAATCTACTGTTCCTAAAATTCTGTATGTTGCTGAAAAGCAAAATATATTGTGTTCAGCGGAAAAAAGTTTTTTCTTTTTTTTTTACCCAGTCATTTAAATATAACACATTTTAGAGCTGTAACGACAATACCGTGATATTTTTGCTTAAGGTTATCATACTGTCAAAATATCATACCAGCACATGCCTACTTCAGTGTAACATGATCCTTCAAAAATAATTCTAATATGCTGATTTGCAGCTCAAAAAATTATTCTTATTAAGGTTAAAAATCTTATTTTTATTTATTTTTTTCAGGATTCTTTGACAAACAAAGTTTAAAAGAACAGCATTTCTGAAACAGAAATCATTTGTAAAATTCTAAATGTCTTTACTGTGACTTTTGATCAATGAAATGCAATTATATTTTCTATATAATAAACGCATTAATTAAAAATATTATCAAACCAAACTTTGAATGGTAGTGTATTTATAGCCCTTTAGTTAATACATTCATCAAATTTGACAATCATTGTACAAATGTTACAGGGGTGGTTCATTGCGATTTTTTTAACGTTAGTTAGTGTCTAATGTTGCTGTTTAAGCATAAACAATATCTGCAAAGTTACGAAGCTGAAAGTTCAATGCAAACGGATATATCGTCTTTTAAAATTCTGGCAGTTTAATGCCTACAAAAACAGCTGGTAGGGACTACAACAAGTTATTTCCCGGGTTCGTGACATCACAAACCCAGATAAACCCCACCCTCGGGAAAAGGCAGCAAAGGGGGCAAGGCCTGCGCTGCTTTAGAGAAGATGAAGAGAAAACTAGAGGTGCACGAAAAATCTATTCATATATGAATCACGATTCTGTCTTCTAACGATTCTAATGGATTCACAAGTTTCAAAATCAATGTTCTAAAGCAGCGGTTCTTAATAATGTTCCTTGTGTCCCCCTGCTCTGCACACGCTCTGCATCTCTCTCTCTCTCTCTCTCATTCAGCTCAGCTCCAGCAATGAACTGTTACAATTATACACTTATTTATAGATGATGCAAGCCCTCAGAGGACCTCAGATGATGCCAACCATGAAACAACATACAGAACTACCACATTTTGCTATAAGTTTGATTGCATCATATAATAATTGCTGTTAATATTGTTCATCGTCTGTTTTTTTACGTCTTAAATTGATTTTTCCGTACTGCTGGTTCGTCTGGTCAGAGGAGAACTGGCCCCCCGACTGAGCCTGGTTTCTCCCAAGGTTTTTTCTCCATTCTGTCACTGATGGAGTTTTGGTTCCTTGCCGCTGTCGCCTCTGGCTTGCTTAGTTGGGGACACTTAATTTCCAGTGATATCGTTGACTTGATTGCACAGATACTATTTAAACTGAAATGAGCTGGACAATGACATCACTGAATTCAATGATGAACTGTCTTTAACTGAAAAATGAGTGTTTACTATTGTCACTTTGCATTATTGACACTATTTTCCTAATTAATGCTGTTCAGTTGCTTTGACACAATCTGTATTGTTAAAAGCGCTATATAAATAAAGGTGACTTGACTTATTTTCACATAGCTATGAGAAGCGTTATACATGGATGCGCGTGCAGTTGCCGTACTGTATTAAAGCTTTAATCAGGATAAAACTGTATATTAAAAGCTAACATAAGTAGTAGCATTTACAAATAACAGCGTATCTAAAAGTATGAGACAAAAACAAACAAAAAACATAGGCCTACCATTAAAAGCCGTGCTTGCACAGGTTCTGCACGATCCTCTTCAATAATATCCTCTGCTTCTCAATCGGGCTCAAACTGATAAGCGATATTAACAACGCGTTGTTTACAATACAACCGGAGCACATGCCGCTGAGGTGAGGGGCGGGACGTTTAGACTAGGGCTGTGCGATTAATCGAAATTGTCATAAAATTGCGATTTGAGCGTGCGTGATTTCTAAATCGCTTTATAGCACGATTTTCCACCCCCGCCCTCCTGCAGTATGCTATCCGAACCAATCAGAATGCAGCACGCCGAAATGGCGCACGAGAACAGAACAGACTGGGCGGGCATACAAACGTAACGCCAGGTTCACACATTTTTTCCGGGCCCATGTTAACGGATCAGAGCGTTCACACTGCACGAGATTGCGCTCCAGGAGCAGTGCGTTTGCAGCAGTCATGCTGCGAACGTTTCCGCACGGAGTCTATTTCTGCTGTGCTGCACGCGCTGAAAGTGACAGTGCATTATTCGCAGTAAAAAACAACATGGATTGGCACGGAAATTTTGAAATTACACCATAAATGCATAGATAGACAGTAATGCAAGATTGTATTACTGTACTGTGATAAAAGAGAATCACAATGCTGAAAAAGCCACGGATCAGGAGCGAACTGCAAACGCGTCCTGTGCGAAAGCAAAATGAGTCCGTGCTGCTTCTGCACCGCATACACATACTGTATACGCACTGCAGACGTTCGTGTGAACTTGGCGCAACAAATCTAGTTCAACATCTGAGGCAACACCACAAAGAGCTCTATGACCAATGCATGGCCCTGGACACGAGATTTTTTTTTTTTTTTCTGCCACATGTCTATTCTAGAGACATTTTGTTACACCTTTACTTAGTGATTATTTTGCCTTATGTCTGTTTTAGAGACATGTTACAGCTTTTTGATAAAGCTCTAATTGGTTTTCTTTTGGAAATATGTTTCAAATTCACACTGAATGCATTTATGATTGTAAATCATGTCTGTGTGTGTCAAAATCGTGATTAAAATCGAAATCGCAAAATTGATCAAAGAAATCGCTATAGTTTTTTGTGTCCATATCGCACAGCCCTAGTTTAGCCAATCACAACACATTGGGCTAGCTAACCAATCAGAGCCCATCACCTATTTCTGAGCAAGGGGCTTCATAAAAGAAGGAAATGATCAGTGTGTTTCTCAGAGAAGGGACAGAGCGGTGTGGAATAAAGGTCAATTATGTGAAAAATAAGCATTAACACATGTTAGACTGCATCCCATGAACAGAATCAAGCCTAGAAAAAAACCAGTGAACCCCCTATTTAATGCAAAACAAGAGGAAAAACTGCTTGTCAGCAGCAAGAACATCTTCAATACAGTTACAACTTTAGGAACAATGATACAGTCAAAAATAAATGCTGAACGTATGGGCGCCACTGAAGGGTTAATCCACAGCCTCTATAAATGAAATCAAAACAATCGTTATTCAAAGGGAAATCTGTGACATGTGACTATGGTTAGCACTGAACCCGACACTTAAAATGATGTGGATTAACAGTGACAGAGACCATCAGTCAAAAAGACTCATAAACTGCTGGGTTATCGGTTTAAATCATTCTAACAAATCATTCAGTGAATTCGTCAGAGCAAGCACTGAATAAACACATGAATCACCGAAGCGCAAGTCATTGTCTCTTTCATTCAAATTATCCAGTTAAAGTTAGTGCAGTTAATCCTCAATGGACCACATTATGACAATGAATTAAAAAAATAAATTACAAAAAAAAAAAAAAAAACTATAAAACTGTTACATTAAATTTTTTTAATGAATATATCAATTTTAAAAACTACCAGTAAATTAATCAGAAATGGGCCTTTTTTCCTCCCCAGTTATTTGTATCAGACCATCTTGGTTCCTTGGTAATGTCAAACATGTCAGATATAATCACAAAAGATTACCTGTCATAGCAGCTGATATCATCAAGCCAGCAGCCTTGCTTTACTATTTCAACCAATCCTGAAACATTTCGCCAAGTTGCGAAGCAATGAAGCCTCTTGTCCTTGTCTCCCACGCAAGACTCAATACCGCTGCGGTTTCCTCGGTTCTCCAAGCTGGGGTTGTAGTTGTAGAACACACACTCTTGTGTCTCTGATCGGCCGAGAATGGCACCTGGAAAAGAAACCACAGGGGAGCCTGGTTAAGACATGGACTGCCTGCAGTGAGAGTGGAGACCTGCTTCATTGATCACTCAGTTGACTTTACACTCAACCCAAAATATAAAGCACAAACCACAACCATCAGTTACAGACTGGCAGCTGAATATCAGTCGAAGATGATAGATATTGGAAGTTTATAACTGATAACCCAAAAAAGTGAAATCCACAGATGGGACTTCATATTGTTTGCAGAAGCTAATTCATAGGCAACCATATGGTTTAAAAAAAGAAAGAAAGCAAGCCAAAAAAAACAAAAAACACTAGTGTTGTGGTTAACCAAAACAACAAACGTAAAGTAGTGAGCAAGATTAACAGGGCCGCTCTAAAACAGGATGTGGTGGAAGGCGGTTTCACAACTTCTTCCTGAAACAACCGCAACTCAGATCGTCTTTGAATATGGCACTGAAGTGATGTGATAAGTGCTGTGAAATTATCCAAAACACACACCGTCATCACCATCAATTAAGAGACAAGACAAAAAAAATCTTAGAGGGTTTCATGAACAAAACAAACAGCAAATAGTGGAATCAGATTTTTACTTCACTTGCTAATCCTGTTCAAAGACAATACAGGGCTCGCAGAACCACTAGCCTGACATCCCAGGGCTACTGTGTTTTACAGTCGGGCTACCAAAATGTATCACCACCCTGCCCGATGGGCTATCTTAAATACAGGGTTCCCGCAGGTCCTTTAAGTCCTAAGTCTTAAATTTTAATTTCATCCTACCTATAATGCCTGATAAAGTAGCGTTCATGAGAGCAGCTGCTTTGTGTTCAGCCGTTACCGGGGAAACCGCTCTATTCTGCTGGTCCAGAAGCACCTCCTACCGTCAGAAAATGAATTTGCATTTTCAGTAAGAAAATGTACCCATGTTTTTACACATCAAAGACATTGCTGTTGTGAAACAGTGGATCGACAAGAAGCTAATGTCTGCTAAAATTCTAAATAAATAAGACAGTAAGACATATATTGTCATTTGTTTTAAATTAATATAATAATTCATGTGTCTGACTCATCCCTTTTCTTAAAAATGGTTAAAAGCTGAAATGTGATGTTTATCATTTTATAAGACTTTTTTTTTGTGGTTTTGTGAAAAGCTGTGTCTGAACTGTAAATCATGTCATTTTATCGTTTAATATGTTACCATAGACATTACCCTGCTCTGCTCATATTGTAGTCATTTTTTGTTTGTGTAGGTCTTAAAAGGGTCATAAAAAGCCTTCAATTTGATTAAAAAAATCCTGCAGATACCCTGTAAATAGATAAATAAAATTATTTCCTTGATATTTGTGTTTTGAAAATGTTTATGACTGATGTTTCGACTCCTATCCAGTTTTCTACATAAATAAATTGTCTTTTTATTCTGTCTTTTTATTTATACTTAAATTCATCTCAGGCTACCAAAATCTGAAGAGTGCCTGCCTGAAGGGCTACCAGGGATTTTGAAATTTTGCCAGCCCTCCACTAGGGATCTTGTGCAGATTGAGCAGACTAAGTTTCTGTCTGGACGTTTACAAAAGATGCGTTCTTGCGCTCAAAAATATTTCCACGGAGTGTAACAGAATAGAACAGAGAGTCAACCATTGGAAACACTACTTTGGCAGCAATCTGCAATCTATGAGAACCTTGGTGATCCAGACATTTGGCAATGCTTGAGCTGATGTTCATATATTGCGGCACACGGAACAGTTTATGCTTTGAGTCAAGTATTTGAGGACTGGTTGCACAGGTTTAGTGGCGGCACCATGCTGGGTTTCATGCTGGAGCAGAAAACAATGTGAGTACACAGCAATAAAGCGATTACAGGAACATTCTTCAAACATCACAAACAGCGCTTTAGTATGCTCCAAAAATACTTTAGCCACTTCTTTGAAAAACCCCCCAAAACAATTAACAATTAAGTATGTGCATTCCACAACCATATATAAGGCATCTTCAGTCCAATTCAAAAATGTAATTGCACGTCTGTGTTTTTATTACCACAATGACAACACAGGAATGGTCCATTAACACCAAACACATGCATGAATACATGAGCACATAGTGCTCAGAAACCAGTGCTTTCGGGATCACTATTTAGGAGTAGCAGTGAAAACACACACACTACATAAACACACACACTACTGTTAAAAAGCTTGAGGTAAAGTTTTACTTTTTGAAAGAAATGAATAGTATTATTCAGCAAGGATGTATTAAATTGATCAAAAGTGACAGTAAACACATTTATAATGTTACAAAAGGTTTTTATTTCAAATAAATACTGATAGTATGTAGTTATGTACTGATTTATGTAGTTTATGAAAGTATAATTGTATGTAATTATGTATATTGTTATCAATATTGGGCAGCACAACTGTTTTTAACACTGCTAATAATAAGAATTGTTTCTTGAACACAGAATCAGCATACTGGAATGATTTCTGAAGGGTCACGAGACAATGGTAGTGTATATATGTAAATACATGCAAAATTAATGGTGTAGTTCTTTTACATGAATTAGACTAAACTGATCACAAACTGAATCCTGGACAATCACAGAAAACTCACTTCTTTTACTGGAAAAGCTTGGATGACAGATTTGCCAACTGAACTGAACTGATTGAACTGAAAGATGAATTCTAAATGGCTGTGCATATTACAATGTATAATTAAACATATCTGCAACATGTTTTGTTTTACGCAATAGCATTTTAATAAAATTAAATGAAAAAAACAATAATTTGTTGGAAGAAATAGGTATCGTTACTGTTTATCACATTACAAAAACAAAATTCTGAAGGAAAATTATTTTGGTGGGAATTAATTTGCTAATTGCCCTTTAGTGGGGATAAATCCAGAGGATTTGTTCCAGAGACACAAGTTACGGTTACTGGGATTAGAAGGAAATCTGCTACAATTACTGTCACATCAAGGTAGAGAAGAACAGCGGTGCACAAGACGCACATCAATGATCAACAGAGGAAGAATCACATTTACTAATTTTAAATAACAAATGGAGCACCCCAAATTGCTCCAATGCCTTCAGCATCTGTAAGGAAACATCTAGAATAAATTAAAAACTAATTACAAGTGTCAAACATAAGGGAATTACTCACCTGCCCTCGACACTAACAAGGAGATGGCTCAATAAACCTTTGACCCATATTCTACGACTTCTATTCTATGTTCTTCCTGACAACAGCTCTTGCCACTCCGCTGAGCTGCTCTCGGTTTTTAATATGAGACGCTGGGATACACAGACTCCTCTGAGTCAGCAGGGTTATACGAGGTAAAACGACAGAGTAAATATATGGAGCTCGTGGAAGAGGCAGCTTAAAAACTCTCTGAACACGGCCCATGAATGACAGCCAACACAGTGAGTGAACAGACCATATGCTGTAATGTTAATGGATCACTTATGGTGGTTTCCTACACAAAATAAACTTGTTGACCAACACTTTGCCTGCACATTAGAAACAAAGTTTTTTTTGAAAGGTTTTGAATAGCAGAAGTGGGTTGCTGATGGCATATTTGGAGTACCTCAAGCTTGAATTTTCCATCTTTAACACATTTAAAGTCTCAGCATGGATAGAAAGAGAAATTACAGGTTACACGTATAAATGTATTCATGTACATCTGGATTCAGGCACATTATTTTATAATGCATTTGCAGTCATGTCTGTGACCAATAACAAACGTGCTTCTAATATGTATCAGTTCTCACCTTAGTGTGAAAATCAAGTTTTTAATATTGTTTACTTGTCTATGGTATTTGTAATAGGCTTAAAGACAAACCATGTTCAAAATCCATTAACACCATTGTTAAGCATTTTCTCCTTAAAACTGCAGTGTACCAAAAGACAGTTTAAAAAGATGTGGTTTGAAACAGCCCCTGTTTTCTACCGTCACAAACACGTCCCAGTCTCGTCAACTTGCGGGGTGGGCCCTGGAACATGGTTTGTGTATCATTAGCAACACATTATTAGTTGCTCGATAACACAATCAAGCCAAGAGCTAATGATATCAATTTTTTAGAACGGTCCAAAGAGCATCTTGTGCTTTAATGGAAGAACAACATCTGACCAATTGTACAAAGGTTCACATGATCAATGTCACAAATTTGATTATTTGATTAGTGACCTAGAAGTGCAGAATGTGAAATATTTCTTCATTTTACATCATAACATTTTGGCTTTTAAACTTCTTATGCTCTAACAAATTTACTTACTGTGAGTGAGAGCAAGACCATACACCAAATTTCCAATCAAACACTGTTCGATGTTTAATTCATTCGCTAAATATCTATATGTTTTTCCTCTTGATCTAATCAGACACTTCAGCAACAAAGATAATTACTGTTTTGTTTTTTAAAATACGGAAACTATTATTCCTAAAAACAAAACAAATAAAAAACAAACTTAAAGGGGTCATATGACGTTGCTAAAAATAACATTGTTGTGTATTTGTGTAATAGTGTAAAACACTATTTTCCACATAATGTACATTATTGTTTCTCCTCTATGCCCCGCCTTTCTGAAACGTATCGATTTTTACAAAGCTCATCGTTCTGAAAAGCGAGGTGTATGCTGATTGGCTGAGTAACTCCAGCGTGTGGCGGAAATGTTACGCCCCTTAACACACTATGATGCCGTCTCCCGGCACGGCGAGACAAAATCAATAAAACCCATTACAAACGAGGGATTTGTTGCATCCAGTGGGGACATAATTACGGATTATAATGACTTATACTGTGTTTTTACGTGTTGCGTAACGCGCCGTGTAAACATAAAACCATGTCTGCATTTGTGATAGGAGAAATGACAAACAACAAGCCCTACTCTACACTGCCCAAAAAAACTCGCTTTAAATATATAAAATATAAAAACTCTTTAAATATAAAAAAACTTACTTACAGTCTTTGAGTCAGAACAGCCAGCATTGAACACCCTTAAAAATGACCTAGCAACACCCATG